CAGCAGGCCTTCCTGAGCTGCTCTGGAAAACCAATTCCTACTAGCTAGCTAGCTATATATCATTCTATATATGTTTATATATATATGTGTGTGCGTGTGTGTGCGCGTGTGCATATGCTTAACAGGACCTCTTTACAGCCCCTGAGTTCTGCTGATCTGCTCCTGCTTTTAGACCGCCCGCTCCAGCGCCATCTCCTCTGCAAACTGCTGGAAAATCAATGCACAGAGCAGGCAGGGCTGGGGCTGGCACAAGGTTATTTGGACGGGCGGCTTATGGCCATCCCTTCGATTCCGCTCTGTTTGTTTGGCAGGAGAGTTGCCACCTGGGCTCTCCACATCCCGCCCCTCATCCCTTCCCGCTCAGACGGAGTTGGAGATGTGGTGCCTGCCCTCGCAGCCGCTGTGCCGGGACACAGCTCCCCAAGAACTCTGGGAATTGCCGTAACATCTGCTAGGGCTCCAGCGAGTATACGAGACCTTTCCTCCCGTGAGAAAGGAACACGAGCTGAAGGACACTCTTATCAGGAAAGACTAAGTGAGCTGGGCCTGTTTAGTCTGGAGAAGAGAAGATAGAGAGGAGATTTTATCAACACCTGAGGGGTGATTGTAGGGAGGATGGGGCCGGGCTCTTCCCAGTGGCAGCTGGTGACAGGACGAGGGGTCAGTTGAAACATAGGAAGTTCCACCTCCATGTGACGAAGAACTTACTAACAGTGAGGGTGACAGAGCCCTGGAACAGGCTGCTCAGAGAGGCTGTGGAATCTCCTTCTCTGGAGAGACCACCTGGATGCCACCCTGTGCCACGTGCTCTAGGGGTCTCTGCTGGAGCAGAGGGGTTGGACTAGATGATCTCTAGAGGCCCCTTCCAACCTCAACCAGGCTGTGATTCTGTGACACAGATTTGGCTTTGCAGTGCCCAGTTCGGAGAGGGGCTGTGGTCTGCAGCTCAGCAAGGCACCCAGACAAGGTCCTTGAGAAGAGGAGAGTATTTAAGGATGTAGCTCAGGACCTGTGGGAGAGAAACTCGCAAAGGCAGGAGGACAATTACCACCTGCTGCTCAACCAAGAAATCCTGCTTCCCAGAGGACACCTGTAAATTTTAGCACAATGCACCTCCTTCGCAATAGCCATAAAATAGTGTCAGTAATAGGAATCAGATGTCTGTTGTTAGGAGATTAATGCCTAGGTCAAAAACAAACAAACGAACAACCCCACACTAGTCAGAGACCTTCTTGCCTCCATTTTCACTGCGGGCAGATCTCTAATCCCAACAGTCACGTGTGGGGTTACTCAACATTTGCATTTTGAAGCTGTCTGTTCCTTTCCACTTCCCTTTTTTTGGATCTGAATGTAACAACTGGGTATTTTGGATGCGTTCTGGGCTTTTCTCAACTGCGTTGCCCTGGCTGCAGGACCTTTGCAAGTTGCCGTGCCGATCACAGGCCGGCCTGGAAAGCAGAGGCCAATGTCGGGCCTGAAGGACACCTCTTGTTTAGGGTTTAGACTTCTGGGAATGAGCTAGACAAAGCACATGGACTCCCATGAGGAACCTTCACTTCAGCTTTCATGGCTTGCTGCTTAACCTAAAAGCATTTCTCAGTTTTCATTTCTGCCTCAGGACTGGCCTCCTTTTCCAGCAGCACTACCACTTCACGAGGTGGCAACTCAGACTCCTCTCCGGGCCCTGCACAGCACTTTTTAGCTGCTGGGGCCTGAAACAGTCAAGAAAATATTTTCACCCCACCGTGCGTGAGGCCGAGCGGCCCTTTGCTCAGCTACGCAGACGAGGAAAACCATTAGTTATACCTCAGTTATTTTTGCAATAAAGTAAGATGCTTGCTCAGCTACGCAGACGAGGAAAACCTCTCTCTGACTAGATCCCCAGGACAGCGATCGCCCTGCAGCCCCTGCAAACCGACATCGTATCATGTCCTTTCCCACGCGGCTCAAAGGGGCCAGCTCTTGGATGCAGAAACATCTCTCCTGCACTTCCACCTTGAATGAACAGCATCTTGGTATGGGCTAGGACTTCTTCAAATCCTATCTCTTCCCTTGGCTGTGTGGAAAATGCCTCTAAAAGAGCACCTATTACTTCCCTTTTTCTAAAAACGGAGCTCACGCGCTTCCCCTGTCAGCGCTGCCCTCCTCCACAGGAGAGCGTCACTGCGCTCCTGCTAGCGCTGTAGGCAAAACCCCCAACGCCTGCCACATCACGTGCATCCTTACACAACCGATACTCTTGGGAAGAAAGATGGAATTCCAAGAGAGTGATCAGTAGCAGATACAGTGTTGTTGCTGCTCGAATGTAATTGTAATTAATTGAACTCCAACTATGGAAAGGCTATTCCTGGCTTGGGGCCAGCAGCGTGACTGCCTGGCCAGGGTTTGTTGCCCTTGTGTTACTTTATGTCCTGCTTACCTGGCTCAAACCAATGCAGCGCAGTTTTAGGGCCACTCATGAAGGAGCTTGTGCTATCGAAAGAAATTGCCATTCAAAAATAGTGTTAGAAATAGTCCTGTTTTTAAAGCACACGTGGTAGCAGCTAGGGGCCTGCAGCCCTGGGAATGAACAACCATGGTAAACTTGGAAAGCAGGGATTAAACAAGACCTTCAGGTGGATTTCAGGAAACTAACTCTACTTTTACAACTAGTCATAGGCTGAGCCTACAGCAGCATCCAGTAGCTGGAACAGAGCTGGTGGGATGGTGATCTTACCTAAAAGTCCAGAGCATTATGGATTTGCGGACGACCAACACTCCTCACTACTTCAAATAAGGAACCCCAGGGCTGGTAGCCTGACCTTGCCAAAGCACAGGAGGCCCCAGTACTGGCGAGCAGCTCTGCAGCATGATGTCCTATTTATTTTTAAGTCCTAGTTAAAACAGCGCTAGGAAGCTTAAGTTTGATCATTTCTGGCTAATTAAAGCAGGTGAAAGAAGAGATCAATTTCCGATAGTTGGGTTCTTGTTCTATGCAAACCCCTATGTCGTATTTTTTCCCCTGCCCCTGATACTGCTCCACCCTCTGGGAGAGCCACCTGCAACAGCAGCGCTTCCCCTTCGCCTCTGTGGATTGGCACAGGGCGACTCCTGGGGCAGAAATCCTCCTTTCTAAAGGCAGCTAGGGCTCCCTTCATATATTTGATAATCACCATTTTACCCCCATAGCGAAGATTTTGCAAGGGACTAAGAAGTCTGCGCAACAAGGCTCAGAAATGGGGGCTTGGACATCTCCACCCTCTTAGTACAGAAATAAATATTAAAAGATTTAACAGCTGTAAATCAATAAACCAGGAATTTCTGAAGAATTATTTGAAATATTAGGGAATTTATTATGTCATTGTGTGTTTAAGTATTTTAACATTAATGCTCTTTTTTTTTTTTTTAAGAACAAGTAGAATACCATAAAGAATCTCCATTAGTTATACCTCAGTTATTTTCACAATAAAGTTGTGCAACTTCAAGATGCTCATCAAGACAGTGCAAATGTTACAGGATTTTCTATGAATAGGCTGCACATTCTTCTTGGGTTAAAGCTGTGCAGGGAATCTGGCAGTGCACTGTTCCTTTTCATCTACTGCCCCTATGTTTAAATGATCCAGATAAACACTCTGTGGTTTGTAACTTTGAGTTACTATAAAAATACTAAACCAGAGTCTCTTGACCTGGGCAGAGCTGCAGGATGTTCCTCAGCTCAACACCAAGGATCACCCAGGCCCCGGAAGACAGACATGTGCGTAACTCCAGCACCGCCGAATCCAACAGGCCCAGTGAGCAAGACTAGTTAACTTACGGAGCACATCTTCTCTGATACTGGAACAAGCGTCTCTTAGTAACAGGGAAAGTTAAATATATTAGATGAACGGGAGTTTCTGGTTCATCATATCATCATTTTGCTGATGTTTAGAATTTCTTCTACAACAAGAGCAAACGAGAGTTGCCAAAAACTGCATTTTCAGATTCAAGCCAGAAATGAAGCATTTGTTTTAACTTTGTGTGAGGAAATTAACCCCTACAGTGTGAGGAAATTAACCCAGGGAGTGTGATCTTCCAGGCTTTGCTTTTGAGAAGACACGTGGGAGCTGCGG